CATCTCCGCAACCTTTTGCACAAGCTCAATCGGGTTTTGGAAGTGGAAGTGGACAGTTGAATCATCAACCATCTCCGTTGCAAGTTCAATCATCTCAATCAGCTTATGGATGTGGTTTTCCGAATTTGGGATTTGGAAGTGGACAATCCAACTATCAACCATCTACGTCAACATTTTCACAAGATCAATCAGTTTATGGACAATCGAACTATCAACCTTATTTTCAGGGTTTTGGAAGTGGAAGTAATGATCAAACATATTCGTCAACATTTTCGGAAGTTCGGCCATCTTATGGAGGAGGCTTTCAAGGTGGATTTGGAAGTCAGTCAATCTCAACTACAGATGCTCAAAAGCAACCTCCACAGTCAGCTTTTGGTAAAGATTTACTTTGAGCTTTGCACAAAAGTGTCTTCAGTACTTGTTTTGAAATTTGGACAATTTAACTTATATTATGGTATTAAACTATCTTTGTCTGTTTACCATTTTTTCAAGGATTTATGTTCAATAGTGGTTTCGGTGTGTCAAGATCAGAATCTGCGGTTCAAAACCTTAAAGTACCTCCACCTGGTGGTCTCCCTCCGATAGGATTTGGGTCAGCTTCTAATAATAGACCTTCCAATATATTATTTGGTTCACCTGCCTCTCATAACGTAACAGTTCCAGGAGTTATTTCGCAGAGCGTGGCTATTGAATCTTTTGGTTCGTTTTCACCAGATAACCGTGTTCTTATAAACGAAGATGGGAATGCATCAGAAAATCATATTATTTCCGATATAGATTTGTTATATAAATTTTTGAGATTACAATCATTTGATGGGAAATTCTTACCTACCGAAGAGTTTTATTCATATTTTGACTTTGGAGATAGGAGTGACGCCGATTGTAGCTTAAGAGAATTTGGAATTAAGCATAATATCGATGAAGTTGCTTGGACCACATCAGTAGCAATCAAATATTTAGAAATTGTTATTGGAGAAAAATATCAAGCCGAAAGTGAAATGTGCCGAGAGAAAGCAGAAAGGGCTCTGAAAAAGATTATTGGAGAGGGTGAAGAAAACGAGAAGATTATAGAAATTGCTCAGGAATGGGTTAGTAAATGGTTCTTAAAGGGAAATACGAACGTCACTAAAGCATGCTAAGTTAGTCTCTTAATATAATTTGAGGAAACAATCGATATTAGTAACTATAATAATAGTTTTATTTCATAAATATAACTTTACATTAGAATTTCATAAGAAAAATTAACCATCAGTCTTCAAAAATGAGTAAACACATTTAAACTTAAGTTTGATATTGCGCGCGCCTCTTGCATACGAGCTTTCTTTTTCGAATGAATATCTTTACATATCCAAAATCTCTTCTTGTTTTTAATTTTATCTCTGCAATATTGCCATACAAGTTACATGCGGTCAAATATGCTAAAGTATGATTGTATGTGTATAATCACAGTTATCTCTTTTTAATAACCCATAAATCAATAGCATATGAAAAGAGGAGTGGTCATGTAAGAGCAAAGCAATTAATTACTTGAGCAGTTGATCGAAATTCTTTCGCGAGATTTTAATTGAAAGTACTTTAACTTGGAAGTTACAGATAATTCAACAATTTGCAGTAGTGAGAAAGTGATAAACTCGATTTATGTTACTATGACTAGCTAGCTATTATTGAGAATCAAGGTTTCCATTTTCTTTCAAAGCATTAATCAGAAGACCTTTCTCGGATCGGTCGAATCAGATTCGAGATCTTTTAGCGGCAATTGACGAAGGAAATCTTGACATTGCAAGGCTTGTTCAGTAATGGAATTTACGCGTTTATTATATGTATCTGTCTCATGATCCTCCAAGTGAATGAATTCTAACTCATTCACCAATTCCTGGATAAGCTCAAGAATTATTGCAACTAATTTTGCACATCGTACGTAAATAATCATAGTAACAACAATAACAATAAAAACAACAACAACAATAATAATAATAATAATAATAATTTTTATTACAAAAGGGAACCCAAATCAGTTGTACACATACCCCTCGATCTGATGAAATTTACAGTTTCCGTGGCCTGAAAAGAATTTTTCTGACTTTCGAACACGTTAATATACTGTAGAATTTGTGTTGTGATTGAGGAAGCAGAAGCTAAGCTACTCATCAGCTGTTCAACTTCATTTTCATCTTGTGTTGAATAATGTGGAAGTGAATCGCGTTTTCGTTTCATCTATCAAAAATTGTTCAGGTTAAAAATGTGGTTTTCATGTTTACATTGTATTAAAAAGGATATATTTACTGCGCCAATCCCTAATTCCGGAATACAACGGATTATGATCATCGTAGATAAATAAAAATTCATTCGTACATTTGTTGATCTTTTTTTAATTATCTATCGTAATATGTGACGAGGTATCTCAACATGATTTAAATGGAAATGGTCTTTATTTTACAATTCTTTTTCCATGTAGCCTTGGTTAAAATTGTCGATCGTCTTTAAACTGTCGTAGATCTACGTTTTGCGAAGGCGCATAAGTTGCTTAATAAATAAAGGATCGTGTCATTATGCTATTCGCTTTCATCGGAAGAATCAATTAAGATTTTTTTGAATTCGATTAATTTATTTAGAATTTACATGCTAGCAAGCTATGTTCCGTCTTGTCTTAACACCGCTTCCAAATTCTCTTACGAAGCTCGCATGCAATTGCACTTTAAAAAACAAAATATGGAATCAACGCTATCAAGCGATAATGCAAAATTTAATTCATCGCAGCTATACCTCGGCCACAGGCGAAAGCAACGTGGGACTATTCGACGACATACCGATAAATCCGGAGTATTTCAACTATAAAAGATATACCGCATCGCAGGCCGCAAAAGAAACGGTTCCACCGAAATCATCACTTATGCTCGTCAGAGACTTCATCGATGATTGCCTGTATAATCCGAATTATGGTTATTTTTCCAAACAGGCAGTTATCTTCTCGCCCGAGAAAGATTTCGAATTCAATAAGATCAAGGATAACTTGGAGTTTACGAATTTGGTGGCAAAAAAGTATAGGCAATTTGAAGAAACGTTGGATGAAACCAACGAGATTTCTCGGCAGGTGTGGCACACTCCAACCGAGTTGTTTAAGGTATGTGGAGCATCTTTTCTGACTTACCGACCTTCGCATCACCAATAACATATTTCCACAAAAATTAGCCGTGGTATGGATACGCTATTGCCAAATACTTGGTTAACGAGTATAAATTAGGTGAATCTCCTCAGCAAGACTTGATCATCTACGAGCTTGGCGCAGGGAATGGTACTCTGATGCTCAACATTTTGGACTACATTCAAAAGTTCGAACCTTCTGTGTACAAGCGAACGAAGTACAGGATTGTGGAAATCAGCGAGAAATTGGCCAACAGGCAACTTCAAAGTCAAAAACTTCGTGAAAGTAAAAATACTCATGATTGCGTTGAAATTATCAACAGGAGTATTTTCGAATGGAATGAATTGGTGTCGGATCAATGTTTCTTTCTGGCTTGTGAAGTACTGGTAAGTCATGATTCTGCGAGTTTCATTCTTCTGTTTTTTTTTCTCTTTTTTACCAGTTTATTATTTTCCTACATCTAAGGACAACTTCGCGCATGACCTAATTCGTTATGACACAATCACCGAGGATCCTCTTCAAGCTATCGTGATAACAGATGACAAAGGTGAATACGATGAACTTTATGAACCGGTCACCGACGAATTGATCTTGCGATACTTGCAACTCCGAAGTAAAACAACGTACAAATCACCGGCACTTCAAAACCGTTTAGTCCGTCAACTCCGTAATAAACTTCCGCTTGCGCCAAATATGTCTCAACCGGAATTCATACCAACCAAAGTTCTCCTGTTTCTCGAAATTTTAAAAGAATATTTTCCGAAACATCGATTGATCATCTCGGATTTCTACAAACTACCAAATACAATTAAAGGCATAGATGCCCCGGTGGTGCAAACCAGGTATAAACGAATGATGATACCATGCTCAACATTTATGTTGTCACCGGGGTGGTTTGATATATTCTTTCCAACAAATTTTGAATTGCTACGTGATATTTATCAATTAGTCTGTAAATCCAGCCAGAGTGATGGCAAGATAGGAATCTTTACGCAAAAAGAATTTCTGAAGAGATACGCGGATCTGAAAAGAACAAAAACGAAAAGTGGCGAGATACCTTTATTAATGTACTATGAGAATGTTAAATTTCTATTGAGTTGAACATACATTTGTGTTGTAATTATAATTCACTATCTTTTTCCGAGCTTTCAAAATCATTTATGAAAAATTAAAAAGTATATCCATTATTAAACTAAACAACTTGAAAAAGTCGCTTTATTCCAGAATTTGGGTCATGTGATTCATCATTCATATACCCGGAAATCGTATCATACACCTAATATACTGTACATTTCTCTATCATGTCTCTCGATTTCTCCAAAAATGTCGTGAAAGACTACGCAAAACTTCTATCGACAGGCGATTATTCGGATGTGATAATTCAAATCGGTGAATATCCTGACTATAAAGAGTATCAGGCTCATTCATTGATCTTGAGAACGCGAAGCAGTTATTTTGAAACTTCCTTGTCAACAACTTGGTCAAAGAACGTGGGTGAAAACATGATTATTTCTAAACCAAACTTTAAACCAAAGATCTTCGAGATCATACTAAAGTAAGCGATTTTTGCAGTAATTCCTGTGTATTTCCCGGCTGTCGTGCGAGGCAATGTTTAATCTAATTTCTAGGTACATCTATGTCGGAAAAATCTTCCTGGAGGACTTGAAGAATACGGAAATTTTTGATCTGCTAATCTCCTGTGATGAACTATGTTTGCAGGAAGTCATGGACCCAATTCAAGATTACATTCTTACCAAAAGATGCGCATGGCTTGAGAAGAACCTCGCATTCGTTTATAACATCAGCTTCAAGTTATCGACATTACGAAAGCTACAAACCTACTGGAATGTAATTACGTGTCACAATCCAGACGTACTGCTGAACTCCTCGGATTTTTTTCGATTGGACCAAGAAGTTTTGTTGCATATTGTGAGGCGTGAAGATTTTGACGTCGAGGAATTGGGAATTGAGGAAATAGAATTATGGAAGAAACTTATTCATTGGGCAATCTTTAGAATCTCAAATAATAAAAAGATTCCATGCAAAGACATCTCTGAGCTGGGCTTTGAACCCGATGAATTTTCTGATTTGTGCACAAAACTCGACCAATTTGTTAAATATATTAATTTCTACAGGATTAATGCTGGAGATTTCTATCATTGGGTAAAGCCGTTCAAGATACTTTTTTCAGAGGATCTTTACGAGGATCTATTGCATTTTCATCTATCACCCGGGACTCATAGGGGCGCTCTGGCCCAATATTTTTCAAGACGTTTTAAGACCAAGAACATTTCGATTGATTCAATAATAGTCAGGCCATACTATCTACCTTTGATTTGTACTTGGATTAGAAAAGAAGAAACAAGTTTTATTAAAACACAAACGAACACGCACATCCTCTATGATTTCAAATTATTATCTCGAGGGGGATTAAACGAAGAGGGTAAGGCTTGTATGAATCCGAATCTTGATTTAAAAACTTTTCTCAACGCTACCAAGTGTAAAGGGCCTACCTTAATCCTTATGGAAATTAATCATTGGGATGAAGACGATTATACTGTCTGTGGCGTATATAATCCGTTGGATTGGTGCAGTCATCTTCCTTCATCGTCATTAACAAATGAAGAAAAGAGCTGTCGAGGAAAAATGTACGATGGTTTCATATTTAATCTGGACAACGAGAAGATTTGTAGGGTCCAAGACCCGCGAAAAAGAATCACAAAAAAATATCAGGTTGGCTACAATTTTAGTGTAGGGACTGAGGATTTGAACGTTAATGAAGAAATGTGTTCGTCGTCGGCATTATCCATCAATTTGGGTTATATCCAAATTACGAATGTTGATAGCGAAAAAGAAACAATTATTAAATTGAACATATCCAGAGCTGTGAGATGGGAAATTTTTCAAGTTATCGAAAAAGTCGATTAATTTTTTTGAAGACTATCTTAAAGAAATTTTGGGATCTTTTTTTCGTTAGAAAGAAAGTAAAATAGTTTGAAGATTTAATAGAATAAACAATTTGCATTCGGTTCATCTACAAAGTGATATTACACAATGTGACCAAATTTTTAGACTTTTTTTAAAATTAATCAGCCTATAAAAGTCGTTAAAGAGCCATCAATAAATATGGAATTTGTTATGATTGTAAATAATTTTTGAAAAGTAATCTTAAAAAAGTTTACCAAGTTTGTTTTCTGTATGTGTTTTACTTGCTGAAAATATAATTACTTTAATAATGGAATATACATACTTAAAAACTGCCATCAATAGATCAACCATTAATAATATTAAAGGTTTAAAAAGATCAGATAACAATTACATTGAAAAATTCCAAAGCACCAATTAAAAGAATTTAATAGTCATATTATAATTCAAGACAATGTTTTGATACTTAAATTATTTAATGTGAATTTAAATTATTCTATATAATAATTTTTTGTTGAAATATGAGATTCTGAATATATTATATTATTAATGCTTATTTGGATTAATCAAAATAATTATTAGTGTAAAAAATATAATTATCAAATAAATACAGTATATACAGTATATTGTTATTTAGAATATATGGTTAAACCTTTTTAAATGTGCAATTTTTTGAAAAGTCTTTAAGAAATTTAAAGAAATTTGTTATTTGCATTTAAAAAATACTGTATATATTTAAAAAAAATACTTTTCATTTCATTTTATCTATATTATATCGCTTTAAGTTCAAATACATAAGAATTTTAAAAACTATTGTTGTATTAAAATGAAATATCTTTATAAATTTATAAATAATATATTGTTAAAAGACAAAAATAATTGTGAATATAAATATAAATAGAATATTAAATATTAAATATATAATATATAAATAAAATATTGAATATCAGAAAAGTAATATAAATAATATATAAAAATAAATTAATAAATAAAAATGAATTTTTATGTCAAAGATAAAAATATAAGTTGAATATTTTTTATTATAAAATAAAACTATTGTAAAAAAATTTTTATAATTTAAATTATTTAATTCAAATATTTTTTAATTATATTTTTTTTTAAAAAAATATGATTCATTTATCAAATTTTATATGTTTTAAATAATTTTAAAATCTATTTTTATTATAATAATTATTATATATATATATGTATTATTATAAATTTTTTTTTAAATATATAGTAAAATTTGATATAATATAATCTTAGGGCAATTGGTATAGGAAAATTTTTTTAAAATTTATTATTAAATTCATTATATCAAGATTATTTTATTATAGCTGTTTTGGGATCTATTCCACTATATCAAAATTTTTATATGTTTCTACTATATCAAATTTCTACTATATCAAATTTCACTATATAATAATATAATTTTTATTTATTAAATATATATATTAATTAATAAAATTTTAAATCAATATTAAAATAATACTACTTATAATAAAACAAATATATAAATTATAATTTATTATATTATACTTATAATAAATTTAGTATTTACTTAATATTATAATAATATTATAAAAAACTATATTATTCAATAATTCTATTAACATAATATAATTTTTTAAAAAATAATAAAATTTAATTCTACAATATATAATTTGTTTAAAAATTTTTTAAACAAGTATTTTTTATTATAAATGGATAATTACTTTTGAAGGCAACAAAAATACTAAATATGATTTTTTCGAATTCAACTTTTAAACAATACATATAGTATATAATATAAATTTTAAGATTACACCAGAAAATTTTTAGTCCATCTTCAAAAATAATTATCCAAATAAATAATTTTTTTTTTAAAAAAACTCTTTTCTATATATAACTTTTTCTTAAAAATTTTCTTTTATAATAAATTTTTTTTAAAATTAAAAAAACAAACATTTTTTTATTTTTCATATTAAAAAGTTTTTTATATTTTCTTTATATTTATTATAAAAATCTTAAGAAAATCAATAAAATATATTAACACATTGAAATAGAATCTTTATTTAAAAAAAAAACAAGTTTAAAGACTTTACTTTTTTTTGAAATTATATAAAAAAAAGCTTATAACAGTTACTTCTTTATAAATTTTCCTTGAGATTCTTTTTACTTTTATGTTTCTAATATACAAATTTTATTAAATAATTATATTTTTGCTTAAAGAACTTTTCTTTAATTCAAAAAATTAAACCTTATATTAAAATTATTTATAGTATTAACTTGAAATACCAATAATTTATTTTATAACATTGCTCAGTATATCTTATTATATTATAAAAAAACAAAAAATTCACTTCACCAGTTATATCCTAACCAATATCCAAGTACTCTCTGTCCACAATGTGAACTTCGTATGGAAGATATTCAACATGTCTTCAAATGTGCAGAAGCATTACAAGCAGCTGAACAAATTATTAAAACCATCAACCAAACTCTTCATCCAGACGATAGTCATAAGCCAATCTCGCATATATGGCAAGTCGT